TTGATGACCTCTGGGTCTCTAACAGTTGACCTGACGTCAAATGTGACTGCAATAGGCAATTGCATGGGCTATCCTATCCTAACGCTTTTTAGTCTTGCTATTTATATTAGTGACCGAGCTAATTGAAGTTCTCTGAATGAAATCATGTTGGTTTTCTTTTAAAAAATGATGGGTATGTTTACACTTTTTTGGACCCTTGGGCTCTCAGTTTTGATTTGGGGTGTGTTTTTGTAGTGGTCGTCACGATCTACCAAACTCTGTTCTCCGCTTGTCTAATCTGCCTAGTCTTCGAGATCATGGGGGAAGTCGAGCACCCTCCTGCGTTGGTGCTCGGCCAAAACCACCGGGTGTGCGCGGGCTTATGCGTATTGCGTAAGGGTTTGTTTGTCTGTTTGTTTATTTGTTTGTCTGTTTGTTTGTCTGTTTGTCTGTTTGTTTGTTTGTTTGTTTGTTTGTTGTTTTTTTGGTCGGACTCCTCCTCCATCCTAAAACCATGGCACAGTCCCTAAATATAAATATGCTCTTTTGTAATTTGACCTGATCTTGACCAGTCACGTGACCAGAAAATTCGAATTTAAGGATGCTTCAGATGTGTTGGGCCTTTTACTATAATGCTTATTTTTGGTTTTGTTGGGATCAAGCTCTTTCTACCTATTAAGACCATTTTAAAGCTATGGTATAATAGAATAGGGCGTAGACATTGGGCTTTGCGGGACACCGACTGTGATCCGCGGAGGCGAGGCCGTTCCGGTAACGGTGGCGTATTCCCCAAGAGTAGCACACAAGTATCCCAACCAACTGGTTGATGCCACAATGATGTCAAAGGTAATACACTTCGGGAACGCATGTCCCGTTGGGACGGTATTGCCCCGTGGGGACAGTCCGCCCGCCTCTCAAACGGTCACCCCGGAGAGGAATTACAGGTCCCGGCGGAGACACGACCTCATCCACCCGTTGGCAGGCGGGGTGACCGCCAGGGAGCGCAGGGGGGGGGGGGGCGGATGAGTTGACCCAGAGAATGCCGAGGACGAATGGTATGTTATAATACAGGGTATATTGCATTAGGGTATACCTAATGCTCATTTTGAACAGGGGCTCCGCCACGGTTTTGGGATTGGGGGGTCCGACCCAAAACATAAAACCTCGCTGGCGGATCCATGGTGGGCATAATGGGCGAATTCACCACCCCCACCCCCCCCCCCCCGCAGCTCCCGAAATCGATGAAAAATTTCCTTTTTATCTAAGAAAACTTAATAATTTTATCGGGAGAATTTTGCTTCAAATCGAAAAACGAAGGTTCAATTTGCACAAGGAATCGAAAACCGAGAAGCGGAGCCCATTGACACCGACATGGTGGCCTCTCAACTCAACGTTCTTGAGGAATGGAGGCCGCTGTTTCGCGCTCCAAGGGCGGTGTTAGCCATTAGACAGCGCATGGGCTTTGGAATTCAGGGACCTTCATAGGCGCTCAAATATTTATGTAGGCTCTTAGGCCAGAGTCGGGTCCTCCAAGGCCGTAGTTAAAGGAAAGCGCAGGGCTTTAGGAGTCGTAGGGATTTGAAAACCCTGCCCTCATATAGCAGTATGGGGTCCTTAAAGACTGACACTCAGTCTCTGTGATCAGGGTGTGACCTACCTTGACCTGAAAATGGATATCAAAACGCTGCCCTTGAATCAAAGGTCAGGTTATGGGGATACTGTAAGAGTTGTGACTTGTAGATGTCCTATCTCTACCAACCTGCATGGGCGTAGGAACGGCTGGAACATTGTGGGTGCATGGGTGCAGAAATCCAGCCATGGCCGGTGGAGCGGGGGGGGGGGGGCAGGTAGGCAACGGTACCCCGGGTAGGTATCGTGTTCTCTCCCGACTTCGGTATGTATCGCCACCGATATGAGAAAACGGTTTCAGGCGGGAGGCTCATGCGATCTTCGAGGGGGTGTGCGACGTCGAAATGGCACCGAAAATTGCACTTTGAAATATACCTTACCTATGTCAATACCTAATTCACGCTATAAAAGCGGCTGCCGTGGCCTTTTGGAATTGGTATGGCAAAATGTCTCGAACTCGTCATGCTGCATGGGAAGTTAGCGTTGATGAGAAAAAGGGTTTTTACACCAGATTGTTGTGGGTGCAGAATACATTGCCTGCACCCACTGGATAATCATTGTGGGTGCAGCTGCACCCACCCCACTGCACCCATGGTTCCTACGCTTATGCCAACCTGCATTCAGAACCCTGTGCAGATTATTGCAGACTACCTCAGAACGGTGTGAGGCTGCTTAGACTAGTATGGTGCTCGAATGACCGGCTTGGACCCCCCCCCCCCCCCCCACACACACACACACACTATCGGGTGACCTCCCATGGAAAGAGGATTCTCAGATCGATTAGAAGTTCTTTTTTGGGGCGGGTATTCATGTGTTTAGGAGGTGTCTTGCAAGCTGGACCACTCTCACGAAATTATAGCCCAATTCTAACATGCTTAGCTAATCCTAACAATCTTAAATGCATTCATAGTAATAACAAAATGGTAGAATAAACTCACGTACATATAGGTTGGCGAGTGTTGAGCAATTCGTGTGTCACAACATTTTAAGGGTTCCCTACATTACATTTATAGATCCTAAATCCCTTAGCTTTGCGACTGTCAACACGTTCTAAGTTATTCAACACATTCTGTGAATGATTTAGTCATTCTTACGCGAAAACAAGCTGATAGGTATTCGGAATATTGGGGGGTACTGTACCCCCCAGGTAAATTATTGGGGGGTCCGGACCCCCGCGTACCCCCCTGTGGCGGAACCCCTGATTTTGAAGGTGATTTGGGATTCGTTAAACGCTCTCCTTTTTACGTTCTGCAAAATGCTCTGTCAAGCTTGGGCTGCAATATTTCGTGATTCGTGAATCGTGAATGGCAAAATATGGATGGCCGCGCAGCGTATTTGTTAAGTCACATGTCAAGTGACGTGCCCCAGGGCCCAGGCCAACTCAGACTGATCCCAGCCAGCCGGCTATCGCTCCATTGAGTGTCGAATGAGGTGGGAACGGTCGGGCCGTGACGCGACAGTTTTAGGAAAGAGCCGTCACCGGCTGTCAGCTGCAAACAGGCCTCACGACAAGGATACCGTGACGAGGTGGCCGAGTGGTTAACCCGCGCGGGGCTGGGGGGGGGTAAATTTTACCCCCCCTCGCGAATTTTTGCGATATCTCAAAAACGGCGGCGCGCAGCGCCGCCAAACTTTCAGTACCTTTTCTTACATCAATTTGACACGTTCCCTGAAAATTTGAGCGAAATCCGTCGGAAAATTTTTGAGAAATTGACGTTTTAGTGACGTCATGTTCGCCATTTTCGCCTCAAAAACGGCAAAAGTTCAAACGCCGCTAACATCTTCATTTTTAAAGGAATCAAGACGTAACAAAAAAGGTTATACGTAATTTTACTTTGTCTATCAAATGGCTATCTCGGTTTTTTGAAAATTTTGGATTTTGGCCTAAATTTTTTCAAAAAACTGACTTTTTTGGGAAAATCCTTATAAAATCCAAAATTTTGAGTCTATCGAAAAAACCGGAATATATGTCAAAGAAGTGGTCTATGTGCATCTACATACCAAATTTTAGAAGAATCGGTTCAAAAATGTGGGAGTTATTCAAAATTTTATGACGTCACGACACACAAAATTTTTGAAAAATGACTTTTTTGGAAGTTCTAGACCTCGTACGGAAACAAAAATAGCACCATTCGATTCGCCGTGAAAAACTGCATCAGATAGACACCTTTTTAGGCCTTAACAACCAACTTCAAAATTTGACCTCACTTGACCTGACCTTGACCTGACCTCGACCTGAAATTCATCCAGAGGTGGTCCATATCACTTATTGAGTGTGCCTATTGAATTCTATGAGTAAAATGACCCATAAAACATGTGTCGCACATGCCCTTTTCTATATTTTGTTTTTTGGTGACCTGACCTGACCTGACCTGACCTTGACCTTGACCTCTGAATGATATTGTATGCAACGAATATTGTCTTGGTAGCCTAAGAACACGTTTTGGGCGATCAGTCTCAGTCCATGACTCCATTCTTCGGCAACTACGGTGTAAGGCCGATACTGTAGAAACTTGCAATTTGTACCCTTGACCTGACCTTGACCTTGACCTCAAACTTTAAATTAAGTACATGTTTTTAGTAGTTCGTGATGAGAGCTTTCGATTGCCGTTTGAATTTTCCAAATCGGACCATTAGTTCGGGAGATAACAGGGGGGGTAAAATTTACCCCCCCCCCCCAGCCCCGCGCGTTCGGCTGGAGACCCCAGCCCCGCGCGGGTTAAGGCGTTGGACTGCTAATCCAATGGTGTCTCCCCGCGTGAGTTCGAATCTCATCCTCGTCGACCGTTTTGCCCTTCAATCGTTCGAGCTGTAGAGCACATGACTTGTGCATTGCGCAATACTAGCACATGACCTGCAGATGTCCGTCAACTGGCAAGACAGCCACCCAGGCTTGGGATATCTCAGCTTGACTTGAAACACCTCAAAACAGTGTAGAGAATTCGTGGAGCGTTCCGTTTGGCGTGGGCTCTCCCGGCCGTTTGACCTAGAGAGGTCAATGAAGGTCACGGTCGCCGAATTAACAGATGGACCTGATAAGCCTGCACCCGCTACCCAGTAAAACCACATGTATGTAGAGTCCAGTATATCTTATCTGGTCTGGTCAATCTTTAATTTGGCATCAAAAGACTCAACATGACCTGAAGCTACTTCCCCATCATCAATTTTAGCTACAAAGGTCACGCGATGACCTCAGGTCAGGTACGGATCACGTTAAAAAGCATGTTTGCACAGCAGCAGTTATTGAAAGTACGAGTCGGGAAAAGCTGCGTTCAAAAAGTACGCAATTCGATACCACATTGACCACAGTCCTAATTTTATCCGTCAACGTCTTTGTCTGTCGTGAATATTATCACCCTACAAAACACCACCGACGTCACGTCTTCCCACAGATAAGCTGTCGTCTCGGTTTCACATCACCAAGTATCCGACACTGAAGCTGATTCGGAATGGCCACCCTGCCAAGAAGGAGTACCGCGGCCAGCGCAGCGCCGAGAGCTTCCTCAAGTTCCTCGAGGAGGAGATCAGGGACCCTGTCAGATTCATCAACTCGACCGATGACCTCAAGGAGGTGGGTGTGCTCCCGAACTGAGAGCGAGCGATCGAGAGTCGCCGGACGGTCAGAGGCGGGATGGAATGACAGTTATGGCTGACAGTTGATATGCGGGCTGCTACTCTAACGGTTTAGAATATCCGGTATTCTTATCGTAAAGTAAACTGGTTTATATGCAGTTTGCTGTGGAACGCTTTGATGGTTCCACGCTATCACGGATAGTAAATACATGATAATGTAAACTAATACTATGAAGACCGAAAAAAATACATTTTCATGTATCAGTCGCGGTGGCTTTATTTACTGCTAACGGCTGTAAACATTCGGTCGCGTGTGTCCCGAGACCCCCTGCGTCAAATCTCTAGCGATGGACCGTTGGGAAACGAAGCTAACGCAGTCTCTCTGGTCTGGTCTGAAGGTCTGGTCTGATTTCCACAGGAGAAGAAGGGTCAGGTGATCGGCTACTTTGAAAGCCCCAACTCGTACTCGTACCAGTCCTTCATGAAGATGGCCTCGTCGCTCAAAGACGAGTGTGTCATCATTGCCGGCTTTGGGTAAGTGATGTTGAGCGGAAACAGATTTCTATCAAGTGAAGGGCTCAGGGCAACAATTTGGTTTTTATCACCCCATGAATTTTGAACGGCTGAGATTCGTATTTACGTAGCGTTACGCTCATTTATTGAGCGTTGCAAGTTCGTCCGCGTCTCAGTACCCCGTCGATTCTAGTGCGTTCTGTACTAGCTGACGTTTGGAATCCGCTCGATAGGTACTAGGTGTTGTGCTGGGTCCGTTATATTTCGAGTGCTGTGTCGCGTGCGTTCTTTACTGAACGCCGTGGTGTATCAGCCTTGTGCCTCCTTACGTTCTTTTTCCGTTCTGTCTCTCCATTGACTTTGATCGACTCCATTGTCCATAGACTGACGTCCGGCCGTCTGACGCCCGCTCTTCGTTCCGCCGGCAGGCCCGAGTTCCGCGCGTTCATGCCCGGCGGGGAGGACATGGTGATTGTGCGGAAACCGAGCTCGCTGGACGATATCGCCATGCCGCCCGACGTGCCGGTGACCGACACGGCACGGCTCACCGACTGGGCACGACGCACCTGCGTCCCACTGGTGGGTGATATGGGGAGCCCGGCGTCCCACTGGTGGGTGATGGTGGGAGGGGGGAGGGCGCGCGGGCTCACCGACTGGGCGTGACGCACCTGCGTCCCACTGGTGGGTGATGGGGGGGAGCTCGGCGTCCCACTGGTGGGTGCAGGGGGGGGCTCGGCGTCCCGCTGGTGGGTGCGGGGGGGGGCTCGGCGTCCCACCACCGGTCGTTAAGGGAGGGGAGGGGGTTGAAGGCACCTGAGGCCGCCACAGTTGGTGCCAGAGGCCGCCATGAGTGGCTTCTATATTATAGGTTCAATAGCGCTGCACGTCTGGCCGAAGTCGCGACCTGACGGTTTACTCACTTGTGATTTGTGATCATTACTTTGTAATTTGGTCTCAACAAAAGCGAACTAGTATTATTTTATCCCCCTTTTGTCGAGTGTGATAATGACAAGACGTCTTTCGTATGTCATTGCCATTCCTGTCAATAGTCTGTCGGTCACCAACTCAGTTGTTGTCTCAGCAGTCTATCCCAGACGGCTCTGTCGTGCCGCCTATATGACACCGTGTCCCCACTGTTTTTCCCTCTGTGTGACAGTTTGTCCCCTCCGTCGTGCCGCTGTCTGACGCCATATCCCCACTGTCTTCCCTTTAATCTGTCTGGCAGTCTGTCCCTCTGTCGTGTCGCCCATGTAACACCGTGTCCGCTCTGTCTGAGTCTGTTCACTCTGTCGTGTCGCCTATGTGACATCGTGTCCCCCGCCGCCCCAGGTGCGGGAGATCACGTTCGAGAACGCCGAGGAGCTGACCGAGGAAGGCCTGCCGTTCCTCATTCTTTTCCACCTGCCAGAGGATACCGAGACGCCCAAACGCTTCCTGCGAGTCGTCGAAAAGGACCTGTACTCGGAGAAAGGTCAGTGTTTGTATTTGAGGCCCAGGCCGAGGGTGTTCACTGTGCATGCTATGCCGTGACGTGGAAGCATGCTTGTCGGATATTGACGTTTCTAGAGAATTTAATGTTCGCAATAATGCGTGAATTAGCTAGTTCAGGGCTCAGATGCATTCTGAGGACAGCGGCGAAGGCAAATTTAGAGGCCCAGTTTATCCGAGGCGGCTGACGTCTTTTGACGCCTCTATCCCGAGCGCCGTTGTTTCACTGACTGTCTCTGTGCGCGCTGGAGTCACACGTGCTCTCTGCGCCCCACAGACGGTATCCAGTTTCTAACGGCGGACGGGCTGACGTTCGCCCACCCTCTCCATCACCTGGGCAAGTCGAAAAAGGACCTGCCGCTTATCGCCATCGACAGCTTCCGGCATATGTATGTCTTCCCAGACATCAAGGTAAGAAACAGAGACTAAGAAACTAAGAGACAGAAATAAAACTTTTTTCTTAGAAACTAAGAAAAGGAGTTCAGATAGAGTCCAGATAAGAAGCAAGCAGAAAAAAGCTACGCTACGCTGATACGCTACGAACTACCGGCTACACTGAGACATCACATGCTCTAATTATGTCCTCCCATACGTCATAGTAAGATAAAGACAGGCACGGAGACAGCTCGTATTGACCCTTTCTGACCGCCGCCGGCCCTTCCAACAGGACATGGAAGACCCGGTGAAAATGAAGCAGTTTATCGCCGACCTGCACTCTGGCAAACTGCACCGCGAGTTCCACTACGGGCCGCAGCAGCCGGCGGCGGCCGCGCCGGCCCCCACACGCGACCAGCCGAGCACGGCAGCGCCCACCTCGCCCCCGGAGTCTGTGTTCAAGAAGCTGGGCCCGTCGGGGAGCCGGTACAGCCTGCTCAAGGATGAGCTGTGATGGCTGCGGCCGCCGGGCCGGGCCGGTGCGCGCGATGGACTGTCCGCCCCGCCGCTGTCGCCAGCTCACCGGCCCGGCGCCCGAGCAGCGACCCAGTGTAGCGGCGACACACTGCTAGCAATCCAATGTTGTTATTTTTGTCAGAGCGAGATTATTGTGGGGTTGGCGTGATACCACACCGGCACAGTGCTGGAAATGAGGCCGCTTTCTGGTCCCGGCGTTTTATTCTCCGGGTGAATTAGCCCCGTCTAGCGCTTAGCCTTTCGGGACCCTCTCAGAGCCGCGGTTGTTTTTGCCGCCCGGCCCATTCGAGATGCAAAGTTGATAGTCGCACGAAGTTTATTTGGGGCCTCTGAATATACGACTTCGAAATTAATCGATTCTACAAAACCTTTTTCTTTCATCTATATGCATACATTTAACAGTAACTCCAGACTAGACTGGTTTGGCTGGCCCTGAATAAGCTTCGTGTGACTTTTAACTTTGCATCTCGACTGGAGCGAGCGGCGAAAACAACCGCGACCCTGAGTGGGTCCCGAAAGGCTAAACGCTGGACGGGATTAACCCGCGAGGAGAATAAAACGCCGGGACCAGAAAGCGGCCTCATTTCCAGCACTGCACCGGCAACTGAACTAGAACCTGGAAGGGGTGTGGACGATGTGCGAGGTAGGTGTCCCTTGTTTATTGAGTTTTATGATCTGCAACTATTTATACCCGGGAATCTCACAGTTTCCCGAGCTCAGCGTAATATCGGTCCCGTTGCATTCCAGTAGAAACGTCGGTCGGTGGCCTGCCGCGATGTTGAGGCATTGAATGCACCTAGGTGACGATGGAAACTGTTGTGGAAACTGTTTGACAAAGTGGCTGCTGTTTCGGTCTTGCGAAACGGCAGGCGCTTTGTGCTTTTTGATGACCGCCTTTCTTTTAGATCACGTCGTGATTTGCGTGAAGTATTTGTTTCAGTTACAACTGTCTATATTTACACCTATGATGGATTATGGCCTCATCTTCCCTGTTTAGTGCATATAACTAAGCACCTGAGCTGGTGCACGCATTTTCTCCCTTTGCTCTTGCGCCCGCCGTAATTCATATAGAGCATATATGAAGTGTGGAGATTGAACAATTTGGAAAGCCAAGTGTTTTACTGCTTCTACTTGTTCCATGGCTCCAGCCAGCCGCCCCTCAGCATAACACTGTTTTCCGGAATGGTATGCTACTTTATAATGTCCCCGTAGTGGAGCGATTTTCCCCCACCGGCATCTGCGCAAAAGGGCTGGACGGGGGGGGGGAGGGCAATGTCTGTACGACCGTGTTGGAGTGTTGGCCTGAGGAAACTTAGCACGTGAAAAGGATATTTTTTTGTACGGCTTCTTCAAGATATTTTGGTGATACTCGGAAGAACGTTAAAAAGGATGGTTCCGTATCCATAGTGTAGAGTGTAGAGCCTGATTAGAAATGAATATTTATATTTGTACCTCATCTGTATCAACTAACGGGCAATTGAAGTCCCCCGACGCACTCTTGATGAGCAGAATTACTCGTTTTGCGTTTGAAGTGTTCTGTCTACTAAAAACTGCATTTGGCGAGATAGCCCAAACATAGCTTGCATTAGCGCGAATGCCAATCATGGACGAGTGAGGATCGATTCTATGGACCGAGAGTTTGGAGTGCGAAATGAGAGCCGTTTCTCAGACCCGCAATAAATCCGTTTTCTTAAAGGTTGTTCCTTTCCACAGTCGGATCGGTCGTTAAACCTGATTGATCATTCGTCATTTAATCATTCGTCATAAGCACGGACTATCAGGTCATTGTCCTCATATCTTCGGATAAAGCCACATTGAAGACCTCACTTGCAAGACATTCATTTCTACGTGATAACAGAACCACATATCCCTAAAAAACGGGCGGTGCGGGCGTTTTTTTTCGGCGGCGGCGTTTGCGTTTTGCGGCGGACGGGCGTTTTTCGGCGGTTGGCGTGCGTACGATGCGGTTGGTTTAGATTTTTTGCGGTGTTTTTGCGTTTTTTTCTGCGGTTTTCGGCGGGCGGGCGATCGTTTATTTTTTGCGAAGTTTGCGTTGGCGTTTCGGGCGTGCGTTTTGCGGTGTTTACGTTTTGCGGCGGGCGGGCGGTTTTTCACCATTCAAGTCCGAACTTTCGAATCCGCAGTGCTGTTCGACAAGCACTGCCCGGGCCTATCCCTAAAAAATGAGCTGTAAATCTGTTATTACCTCTAAGCATCGAAAGTGGAAACCGATTAAACGGCGTCGAAAATTAAGGAGACACACCAATGGTGACACCAAAACGTCAGAACTAACCTCTCCGCCTCACAAGGCGTCCTTTATTCGTAGCTCCAACATATCTTATTTGCGTGAGACATGGCAGCTCCCCATAAAAGCAGCAATACAAAACCCGCAGCATACGGTCAGTACGCTAACCTGAGCACGGTCACAAATCTTCATCTTCCATGTCGCTGTCCTCCTCCTCCTCCCCTTCTTCATCATCATCTTCATCATCATCTTCGTCATCGTCGTCGTCGTCATCATCTTCGCCGTCTTCGTCCATGCTCTCGTCGTCTGAGCCCTGCCAGTCGACGTCCTTGGGCTGCTCCACCAACGTCTTCCACTCGTCCATCTTTGACACGTCTGCAGAAACAGTGGGGATCCTCGTTAGTGCAAACAATATGGATAGAAGACAATATGCTAAAAATGACTAATTGTTAGCGAAAGATACATCATTCAGGGCGTACAACTATGACCTAGTGTTGCAAAACTTCAAGTGGGTATTGTTATTGATTCCGGTAGACGTTGTAACTATCATTTTGCTCTTAATTTCACTGTCATGTACTAAACTATGTCCATATGTCCTCTGCCGGTCACTCACTGAACTGAGAGCGGCCCTGACTCCTGTCTTCTGATATCAATTCACCGAGCTGGTAGAAGTCTGAGAGCGGTCCTATGTTTCCTGTTACTCACCGAGTTGCCAGAAGTCGGGGAGCGTTCTCTGATAACTCACCGAGTGGCGAGCTGATAGAAGTCGGAGAGCCTCTGATAACCCACTCAGCTGGTAGAAGTCTGAGAGCGGTCCTGTGTTTGCTGTTACTGAGCTGGTAGAAGTCGAAGGGCGGTCCTGACTCACCGAGCTGGTAGAAGCTGGAACTCACCGAGCTGATAGAACTCGGGGCGAGGTCCTGTGTTTGCTATCAACTCACCAAGCTGGTAGAAGTCTGAGAGCGGTCCTGTGTCTGCTGATAACTCAACGAGCTGGTAGAAGTCTGATAGCGGCCCTGTGTTATTCTGATAACTTACCGAGCTGGTAGAAGTCTGAGAGCGGCCCTGTGCTATTCTGATAACTCACCGAGCTGGTAGAAGTCTGAGAGCGGCCCTGTGTTACTCTGATAACTCACCGAGCTGGTAGAAGTCTGATAGCGTCACCTCCACACTGCCCCGCTCCACCTGACCGCCGTACAGGAACAGCTGACTGCCGCGTGCGGCCAGACCGGCGCGGGCGCGCGCGCACGGCCCCGCCGCCGGCGCCGCCTCCTCGTCCTCGGCTATGGCCATGGCCTCCAGCTCCTCCGCCGGGTCGTCCTCGGCGCCGGCGGCCGGCGGCGCGTCCTGGTCGGCCCGCCGCCGCCGCCGCCGCCGCGTCCGGTCACGCTTCCCGGACAGCGACACTGGGAGGGAGAAGGGCGTTAGAATCGTGCTGCTGCTGTGTACTTACCTTCCCAAATAACAAAATTTACAGCCCTTGTCATGGGCTCATGTGACCATTGTATCTCAATCTAGCTTCAGAGATGAGTGAAAAGGAGCATATGCTGACCCCCTCAACGTCCCAATGCATTCAATCGGTGCAGCGAATTCAATACTACGGAAAAGTGCCACAAAACCAGGGATAATGTTATCCACACCGGAGCGCCCCCAGCTGTACTGACCGGTGCGCCAGACGCCCTTGGCCACGTCCAGCGAGTACATGTCGTTGAAGAAGGTGCCGCTCAGCGCGTCGTCCTCCTCGTCGTCCTTTACACCTGTCGAACGGAGAAGTAACATTGGTCAGGACACGGCTCGCACAATGCGATAGCCGTCTGACTGGGCGGATTAGCTCAGAGTGAGTGGGTAACAGACGATACCACAAGTACTCACGCTGCCTGATATCAATTACAATATGGCTCTCCTGAACTGTGTTCTGTCATTTAACAAAGTTGGTCTCCAAAGCCAGTCAATGGGATCATTGACAGGGAGGTCATAAAATGGACCGAATAGTAGGAAAGTCGTCAACTACCTATGGCTCGTAAGACGCTGGGGCAATCTAGCACATCGAACACTGTTGGAAGTGGCAGCACAATCGATTTGACGCTATGGCAGAGCATTATAAGGGAGGATCGACGGGAATTGCGTGCCATTCTGTGTTTAATCTGTTTGTATTTATGATATCCAAAGGACGGGAAAAGATGATATGATATCCGTCTATTAAAATCGCTCCCGCGCCCGCAGAACAGGACGGGCCAGACCCTCCCCCTTCCGAGACCGCCCCCCCCCCCGCAGGTACGGGAGTAGTCGACTCTCACCTCCGAAGAAGAGGGCGCTGTCGCCGCGCACCAGGCAGCCGCTCATGCCGCTCCGCTCGGACGGTTTGACGCCGCTCTGTTTCACGGCCGTCCACCGCCACCGGGTCAGCGTTAGGTCGTGCTCTGAAACAGGGGGTCGGCGCCAGTTCATGCGGTAGCAACCGCGAGTCAGCTCAGAAACAGCTCTGGTCGAGCTCTCAAACAGAGGGCAAGGGTCAGGGGCAGGGTTGGATAGTGCTCTGGAATACAGCACACATACAGGCAGAGGTCAGGCTGCAGTCAGCACAGCCACAGACTGACAACCAGACGTGTAATTAGACGAAAACAGAACCCAAACCGGCCAGCACAAAAAAAAACAGACAGCAGACAGCTGCACTCGGCACTCAGCACAGATGGATCACATCCTCGATATCTGCGGCCATTGCCTTCTCATTATGCTGTGTCCACCGACCAGTTCCGCGACCCGCTCTACTCACTGTCCGGCGTCAGCAGGTACATGTCGCTGAACGTCGTGCCCCGCTCCACGTTCTTCTTCACCTTCTCCTTGCAGTAGCCGCCGTACACCAGGATACGGCCGTCGGACAGAGCCAGCATCGTGACGCTCGAGCGCGGCGACGGGCCCTGGCCTGCCGAGCATCAAACACAGAACGGTCAGGGGAACGGGCCGCCAATCACAGAACATAGAAGCATGTTAAATACGGAACACACACGAGTGTAAAATAAATTGCCTTCTTGCCTATGAATAAGTTATCAGCTTAAAGTTACATTAACTTGAAATGTGCCTAACATAAAACACAATATTTAATCTACCTACAAAATAGTTAAATCATTTCAAATCACGATAATTTCCAAATTCCAGCTCCTTTTCATAGAAAAGGTCATGGGCGAGGCAGAGTAGAATAGTCAGTCTGCGTGGCGCGCGCCATCACCCGCAGTCCGCCGGCCACTGACCGGTGACTTCCAGTTTGCGCCACTGGCGCCGCTCCAGATCCAGCGCGTGCACGTCGTTGAAGTACTGGAAGCTCTGCAGGTTGTCATGGAAACCGCCAAACACCACCAGGTGTTTTTGAGCGTACACCATCCGATGTCCGCTGCGGGCCGACGGGGCGGCGCCCTGTGCACTGCCGACACAGGGCACAAAGCACACATGGTCATACGCGGGCAGAGCTGCAGGCTGCACACAAGGCACACGGACATGGTCGAATTCAAATAGTATTGCTCTGCGTGATTCAACGTCAAATTACGGTTAGCAGATAGCTAACTAGGTTGAATAAAGAGTACCTGGCGCAGCACGACGTACCTGACCTTCTCCCAGTGTTTGTCGGCAATGTGCAGACGCCAGAGGTCGTCCGATGGTCACTAACCTACCTGACCTTCTCCCAGCGTTTGTCGGCGATGTGCAGACACCAGAGGTCGCGGTAGTGGTGGAACTGCTCGCCGCTGGGCGCCGAGAACTCGCCGGCGAACATCCACATCTGTCCGCCGCCCAGCGGCACCGAGACGGCCGCGTGGCCACAGCGGGGCGGCGGGCCGCGCGGGTACTGCAGCCGCCGCCAGCAGGCCGGCCGGCCGGCCGCCGCGCACCGGTACTGGTACAGGTCGCCGTACACGGCCGTCTGTAAACACACACCGGTACTGGTACCAGACATACACCGGTACCGGTACAGATCGCCGTACACGGCCGTCTGTAAGCATAGAGCGGTACCTACTGGTAGAGACAGCACCGGTACTGGTACAGGTCGCAGTACACCGCTGTCTGTAAACGTACACCGGTACTGGTGGAGTACAGACACACACCGGTACTGGTACAGACATACAGCGGTAATGGTAGAGTACAGACACACCGGTACTGGTACAGACATACACCGGTACTGGTACAGAGTACAGACACACTGGTACTGGTACAGAGTACAGACACACTGGTACTGGTACAGCTCGCCGTACACGGCCGTCGGAAAACACGGCGGTACCTACTGGCACAGACACACACACCGGTATTATAAATCAATACAATCAATACAATAGCAACGTTCAGCGGCCGTTTTGAGATGTGTAATTGGCCAGGTCGGGGTGTGCCCCGTGTGTGGGAGGTGGCCGGACAGGTCCCGGTGCCCGCCGCTGCCTCGCCCCCTCACCTGTTTTCCGTTGTAGTACTCGCCACCGTACAGGAAGAGCTCATCGCGCTCCGGGTGCGCGCACAGACTGAAACTGGAGCGCGCCTCGGGCGGCGGACAGACCGTCTCCGAGACCTCCTTCTGGAGCTCGTGCTGCGCCGCCAGACGCACCACCATCTGCTCGACGCTCTCCTGCGGAAGGGGTACGGAGAAGGGACGAGGTCAGGAGTCGGCGACTGTTGTCAGAATCTAACACAGACTAGCCGATTTTACAGTCTCTGAATCTCCACTCGGAGTCTATAAGTAAAATCTTTACTTCCTTTGATTTTTTTCGAAATACGCTGGCCTATGGCCAAAAAAAAAAAATAATTCACTCACCTCACCCTTTTTCTTCAGTGACTTTTTCAACTTCTTCGTTAGATTTTTCTCTGTCTTTGCGGCAGTTTTCTCCATTCCCTGGCCCTTCTTCTTCTTATCCTTCTTCCCCATGGCTCCGTTTCTTTGGGTCAGGACTTCCTGCTGATAGTTAGTTCCTGTTGCCGAGCCTTAAACGGAGCGACCAAAAGGCACGGTAACTGAGTTGAGCTCTGAAGAAAATAACCAGGTTTGGCTAAGCACTCCGGGAGATCAGAGGATTTAGCAACAGGTGCTCGCAGTAAAACTGCATTCCTGAGCGGATAGGGCGATATGTCCATATGTAAAACAGTGTAAAAAGGAAACATGCTTTACAGTTTACCGATCAGCCCAGTTCAAGTTCAACCCAGTTTAAGCAAATAGGTATTCGGCATCAAATGTGACGTCATCACTCATCATTCATTTGTAAATGTTGGCAGGGATTCATACACAATGCACATATCAAGCAGAAGTTTAAATTAAAGCAAATGGAGAAACTAGCTTTGTTAGGATACCAAATATAATAGGTAGGGAAGGGATTGATGCAAAAAAAAAAATGATGGGAACTTTCCAATCTACAGTACAACAAAACTGACCAGCCTAAAGCCAGACATTGATGGCATATAAGTGAAATAAATAACCCTTATCAAACCCACATCACAGGAAAGAACCATTAATTTCAGAGCATTGAACAGCATTAGCATAGAGCATTTATCCTTGTAGCACTGATCTGTTCTGTTGAGTTCGTGAATATTCATCGGTGACTTTTCTGAGAATCATCGAAACGTTAGGATTCGCTGAAAATGCCTGTTTCTTTGGCCAAGGGCCGACGGTCACTGGGGCCTATCGCCAGGACGACACTGGCCATATTCAGGCACATCGGTTGAGCCGTGGTAACACGAAGCAGCCCATCAATAAAACTAATAACAACTGAATACAAAAAAAGAAGGCAGTGACATACCCAAACGGCAGTAGCGATATTAGCCCCCCCCCCCCCCCCGCCGTTCGGTCTCAGGCCAAGGCTTCGCGAAAAAAGACGAGCGTGTTCCCTGTGATGAGAAAAAAAAAACGATGATACCGAGTTTTGAGATCCTATATCATTAGCTGACCTTCCAGGTCACGTCAATGACCCACAAGTCGGGAAAATTGGGACCTGCTGAAAGGTCTCTTAGGGGTCCTGATTTCGAATTTCATGGTAGTTTTGATCAAAGATGACGTATTCATGCAGTTGGGGTAGGTCAGGCCGGGTCAAGTCAGGTCAACCAGTAGGCGTCCTGATGGCTATCCATACTCTATAGTCTATACTGTCAGGAGTTGACCACCACTGACAGCTTCGTACCTGATGTTGGATGGGCACCAAAACTGCTTATGTAAAGTTCGAATGCGTGCAAAATTCTAAACCAAACTACCAACAACCATGTGAAACTCGAAAAAGTGAGCCAAGGTCATATGAACTCAATGGCCTTGACCAGACCTTCCCATGACATTGAAACCCACCATAATGCATGGGACAAGCAGCGTTTTACATGTTAGCATGTAATTGTATATAATCACAAAAGTCTGAAAACGCACGGATAATGTGCGCCGACATACGGATGCGCCGAATCGCAATTCCTGCCTGACATTGTTTCGAGAAACAGGTTACAGGTCAAAGGTCATCTAGGTCAAAGATACGAAAATTTACAAGATATGTAAAATCGATCAACTCGAAGGCAATGAAATTATCGTCATAATCGACCACTTTTTACGTGATTTATTCGCGAAAACCGAGATGAGTCCATCCGACCAACCCCGTGACGCGCCATGCCGGGAGCAGTGTTTGAACACTCCCAGCCTCCCCCCCCCCTCCTTGCAGTTTTTCACGAATACATATCTTAAATACCGCCGTTTTGGCAGACCTTATCATACATCTTGTCTGCACAGTGAAAATTACGCACTGCTCTTTCAAGGTCAGGTCACCAGGTAATGTCGTGACCTTCCCCACCCCAAAAGTTTTAATGTTTGCCGATTAACCGATCGTTTTGAACCTTTTAACGTAATGAGGGTAGTGGTATGTATGGGATGTATATCCCAGAATACTGTTATCGGTAACCTAAGGTCAGGTCAATTTTGCGATCTCTCCATTACAATTCAGTGGGAGAAAAGCGTGTTTTGCTCTTTTGGACCAGATTCACGCCGGACACTCTCAAACATCTGGTTCTTAAGGCCGCACCACACTGGACCTCGCATGCGGGTTGCGAGTTTTTGGGTTTTGCGGTTTCTTCAAAATCAAATAATATAATCTAAGCTGAGTGACCCACACTACCATCTAACAAGCGAGTCTGCATATTTTTAACTTGCGAGCGACCTTGCATCGCATTCCAAAAGTTGAATTTGAGTCAATTTTCGATTTCCCTCGCAGCGAGGTCTGCGAGTTCTGCGAGGTTTGCGGGTTTTCGTTGAAGTCGAATTTTGGTTCGGTGCGCTGGTGTTGCGATTATATTGTAAGTTTCTGAAGGTTCATGACTTCGCTGCATTCATGAAGTTACCACAAGGGAACGGTCTAAATCACTCTGTGAATTAGTATTATGCCCGCAAACTCAAAACCCGCAAACTCGCAACCCGCATGCGAGTTCCAGTGTGGGGCGGCCTTTACGAGCGAGCAAGCGCAGCGAGCGAAGCGAAGTCTTTTCAATATAACGGAAAAATCTCAGTATGAGCGGCCCGGCCCGGCCTGTAACGCTTTTGAGAGGCTTATATCTCAGCAACCGCTGGACCGATTGGCCTGCGGTCTTTTTTCCTGGGTAGCTCCATCCCTTCTACCCCATAATTGACTACTTTTGATACATCTCAGTGACCGTCGTGGCACGTGCCACGTGAAAAGTCAAGGGTGTTCAAGCAGTTTTGCAAAAGTAATGATTTTGAGAGGCCCATATCTCAGCAGCGGCTTGAGCGATTGTCTTGCGGTAATTTTTATAGGGTAGCTGCATCCCTTCTACCAAAGGTCGGATACTCTTGATCTATGTGAGTGACCCCCACTGCACGTGCAAAATACAAAAAGAAGAGGTGCCAAATTTGTTCCCATTTCCAGGGCTGCGGAGTCGGAGTCGGAGTCGGAGTCGGTCGGAGTCGACAGTTGTGACCGGAGTCGGAGTCGGAGTCGGAGTCGATTTTAGAAACCCGAGCCGGAGTCGGAGTCGGAGTCACCGAAAATCCGTCGACTCCGCAGCCCTGCCAGGTCTGCGGAGTCGGAGTCGGGAGTTGGAGTCGGTCGGAGTCGACAATTCTGGCCGGAGTCGGAGTCGGAGTCGGAGCTGGTTTTTGAAAGCCGGAGTCGGAGTCGGAGTCGGAGTCGCTGAAAATCCATCGACTCCGCAGCCCTGCCCATTTCAGTAACTCGGTAATTGCTGGGGCGATTTCGCTGAAACCTGGCATACAGGTAGGCACCCACCAGGCAATGCATCCCCATGTGTTGCGGTTAGGGTGCTACTGCACGTGCGCACGTGCAGGGGGCGTTTCTAGATCTCGAGAACGGCTGGGCCGATTGCGCTCAAATTCGGTACACGGTTGGCCTTGGGGACCGGTTAGTAGGGTGCCGTGCAAAAGTCATTTTGGACCCCGTTTGCACGTGCGTACGTGCAGAATCCCGCTTCCAGATCTCAGGAACGGCTGGGCCGATTGCGTTCAAATTTGGCACACCGCTAGCGACCGGTTAGAAGGCTGCTTTGCACAAGTCCGTTGGAAGTACCCTCTCGCCCTTCCGCAGGTGTAGGGCTCACTATCTCGCTCGCTCGTTCTTCGCCCAAAAGGCGTTTTACTGGTAGCCGGTAGGTAAACATGAAGGTACTCATTCGCAAAATTACACCCGTGACTCCTCTGTATACCCCTAAGATCATCTAAGGTCACGAAAATTCCCAGTAGTTTTTCGATAATTTGTGATAGACATGCAATTGTTAGGTCAGGGTCATGGAATTTTCAGGGTAAATGTATAATTCATCAACTCGAGGGTACTGAAAGTTTTGTGGCGATCTACCGCTTTTTGCGCGAGTTATTCGCGAAAACCGTTCGACCTTCTCCCCTCCCCCCTTTACCTAAGCGCGAGGGTTGAAAGGAATATCCAATGCGCTCAGCGCTCTAGCTTTATTCGTTCTCGAATTATGCACAGATTCGTCTAAAATTGTCGAAATAGGTCAAATTAGACTTTTGATGACGTTTCGTGACCTGACCTTTGACCTGAACTAAAAAATGACCAAGTACTTTCCAAAAAAATGCTAACGGCATAGAAAAAAAAACGCTCTTTCGAACGCCGCTTGCCGCGTGCCGCAAAGTGGCACGCGGGCGGAGTAAGACGGGAGGGGGGAGTCTGTTCGATCCGACCCCCATCCCACCCGCCCGGCGAAGGTCGCACCCAGCACCCCGATACTCGTAGCTGCGGCCGCGGGGTCCCCAGACCAGCCGAGCCCTATCGTGACAGCGAACCGGCGGACAATACACGGGCGTGACGCAACAATTTCTAGAAAGGAGTAACGCCTGCCGGCGCCGTGATTCCCGCCACTAGACATTTATGTGACGAGGTGGCCGAGTGGTTAAGGCGTTGGACTGCTAATCCAATGGGGTCTCCCCGCGTGAGTTCGAATCTCATCCTCGTCGACCATTTTGATATTGCCCCACTTGCGGAGGTTCACAAAGTCCGACCAGGATGGTGCGTTGATAGGCCCATTTGAGAAGGGAGGGGTAACAAACCGACCGCGCAAGTCGCTACGCGGCGAGGACCCGAATTAGAAGGGGATATTGTTCAACCCCAGCCCCCCCCCCCTCGCAAGGTGAGGAAATTCGGGAGCCCAGCGGGGCGCGGGTAAATGTAGAAATAGAGTGGGTAAATAACACGAGGTTTTTGCCCTTTAAAAGCGTAGAGGAGCATATTACTGTCTTTTACGCACATTTTATAAATCCACTCAAATATCAGGAGTTATAAAGAAGTTCTAACCTGACTGAGCACCCTGCCAAGTGCCAACAAACTTTCAGGACAACTTACGAAGTCTTACGAAGGGCACCTCTGTCACCCACACTGTCCACAGACCACATTCACAGTTGGCCACTCAGATAGGGGTCTGGAAGCAGTAAAAAACAGAAGAAGTAAAAAATAAGATATTTGTGGCAACATTGTCAATGGGCTGGGTGTGGGTACCAGGAGTACACCCAGCCCATTGACAAT